TAAATAAGAAAATATTTATAAATAACTTAATAATTGAAGAATAGAAAGCAAAAAATAAATAAAAAGAACAATAATAATACATTAGGATATGTATATAATAAAATATACACACTTGAGTATTCAAAAAACGGGCAACTTTGTTTATCTTGTTATTTTATTATTTTTATTTAAATCAACTTTGGGTTTTTTTGTTTAGTTTTCCCCGCAACTATTTTGTTCTATTTTCTATTTTTCTCACTTACAAGATGACTCACTACGAGTAAATGATTCATTAAAATATTCATAATAATCAAAAGTTACTTTATACAAAACTAGCAAGAATAATAACGACAGCGATTGGGTAAATCCCATTTTATAAAGTTATTTGTGTATGTGTGTGTATATGTGTGTGTGTTTTCTAGGTATATAATAGTTGGCTTAAAGCAATTACCTGACTAAAGCTATGCGTCTGCAATTCGCTGCGCAACTGCGCCGCAGCAGCGACGGCACGTGACCTATTGCGTCGACTCTGGCAACTCCACCGGCCGTTAGAGTCGGGCGGGTAGCGGTAAATGCGCGACAGCGTCTGGCTAAGGCAGCGCGTGCTGCCCGTGCGCAGAGCAACCTGTGCGGCGCCCATTGCGATAAGTGTCTGCGACACGAGCTTTAACCCCAGAGTATACATAAATAAATCAACAAAATATGCAAAAATTGAAGAGAGTAAAACAAAAGCAATATTTATACGAAAACAAAAGAAGAAGAAGGAACAACAACAAGAAGAGAAACATGCTTATCAAGAACATGCCGCCAGTTGTATTATAAAGAGAGCCAACGACAACAATGTATAACAATGTATAACAACAATGTATAACAATGCGATAAGCCCAACAAGGAATAAGCTAGAAGCGTGGAATCATCATTAAAAAATAACAATAAAAAAAAATGAAATCAAATGCAACAACGGAAGAGCCTTGAAGTGACCGAACAGATCGACTCTGAAATACTCTTTCAGATAAGAGGCCAATACTTCTACATCTATATATTTGCTTCAGCTTATCAGTTCATTGAAATTGATGACATCAATGCCGTGTAATACGCATTAAAAATAAAAGCAATTTTTTTCAATAATTTGGATTAAAGCGGTTAATACTGTAGAACAAAAATAATTATTATATAAAAATAAAAATGTATTTAAAAATATATGTATACGCATTAACAATAAAAGTAATCATCTTTTTTAGCACTTTCGATTAAAGCAGTTAGCACAGTAGACTAGAAATAGATCTGATTACATACATGTGTATGTATATACCAACAAATTGTATACCAAAATCAAAATCAATGATAAATGCTCAATTATTCATTACAAACTTTAAAGACAACTAATTTCAGCAGCTGTCAAAAGTTATTTCAATACATATTTTTTTTTTTTTTTTATATAATTTACATTGCAGGCGACAAACGTGTTAGCAAAATGAATGGACTTCTTGGTGCGCTTTGCAAGAGAGCCTGATAGCCGCCAAAGATTTCGCGATGACACACGAATGGCGGTATCGGTCAATGTTCGCGAATTACGTAGAGAATTCGTAACAAAAACAAAAATAATGCAGAGAAGCTGCTACCAAGAGCGAGAACAATAATGAAACGGGTTATAAAGCATTCTCTGCATTTTGCATTCTCTTACCGTTTGCAAATTGTTGGACATCTTACTGCGTAAACTCTTCCTCTCGCTCTACCTTCCACACGCGACACGATGTTCAAAAAGGTACGTAACAGCAATGTGTGAGTATGTATGTGCGTGAGTTCCTGTTGTGACCGTGTGCTTGTCTGTTTTAGTATTTCCTTTTTTTTTGTTATTCGTTTTTTTTATTTACACCTCCACTTGACAGAAACAATTAAATATACATCCACGTGCTCTATAAACTGCGACGTCACTGTTGACTAAATATAATTACAATAAAACGTATAAATAAAAACAACTAGTTGAGCTGTTGACTGTTTCTGTTTGATTAACGGGTTTAATGTTGCACTGCTTTCCGCTTTAGCATCCACTCGCGCGCACGATTCAATTGCTACTGCGATCGAAGCTTTGAGTCGCTGCAGAGTGTCAAAAGAGGGAGTGTGATTTTCGCCTACTCTTCCGTTATCTTATCACCTTGGTTTAGCACTCTGCACGGCAGCTCTCCTATTTCTCTCTCGCATTTGCATTTCGAACTGAGCTGCTGAGTTTCACAGCGCTCTGCCAATGAACTTTTGCAAGTGAGCAACAATCGAGAATTTTTCTCACCACCAATTTGAATTTTGCAACCTGACAGACGACTCAAGGTTGACTGCTACAGCTACTTCTATACATTTTTATTTGAATTGTAAAAAATTAGTTTATATTCTAATATCTCTAATTTTGATTAGTTTATTTTTGAAATAATAATAGAACCAGTTTTTTTTATCACTTGTTTACTTTTAGACCCGGTATGTTTTTTTGGGTCAAAGCCAATCAATTACGTTTCAAATAAATATGTTTTCCAAAGCTCCATTGAGAGTTTTCTAAAATTCATGCCAATTGGCACGCGCGCAGTACCGCAATATTGTTACACGAGGGCTGCTCAAGCCGTGTTCAATTTAATATGCACATTTAACAAGAAAAATCTACTACTTCTGGAGCAACGCTCGCCGAAAAGCTTTCGGTTTACATGGCCAATACGATGCTCTACAAGTTAGCAGCTTTCAATGAAAGCTATCTCGAAAATGCTAGCTTACCACTAAAAAGCTTTCGCCATCGAGCTTTTGTAGATGCTTTACAAATGTACTTTAAATGTGACTCACATCCGCACGGATGCGATCATATTTATTTTCGTGCATTTACCTATACCATATTACATTCATATTGAGCTTTTTCCATGTAAGAAAAAACTTGTGTCAGATTAGATTTTAAATGTAAATACATATGTATATACATGCACACATATAAAAAATACCTCATTTAAATGAATATGCTAATTCCGCATTGGAGCTTTTTGCGACGCACTTCAATGCCAAAAAAGGTTGCTGCTGATAAGCCATGTCTATGGTGTACAGTCGCGTCCCACATGTGCATGCAAACACACACACACACAAACATACAATGCGAGCGACTTCTAGGAAGTTTCTAGAAAGGCGCAAAGCCCCCGAACCCCAACCAAAGAGTAGACAGAATAATTAACTTGGTTTTTGTTTTTGTATTTCTTTTGTTCTTCCATTTATTTTTGAATGTTCTCGAATGCTGTTTTTTATTTGTGGTTTTATATCATTTTTTTCTCTGCATCTGGCTACGTTTTGTTAGCCGTTTTCGGCTTGTTGTTGTTGCTGCTTAACTTGGCTGAATGTTCTGTACGGCTCTTTACTTTAGAAGTTTTGTATTCTTTCAATTTTGCCACTTCTTCACATACACTGCTCTAATTTTAATCGTGTTCTGTGTCTACCTTTTATTTCACTTGCCTTTCTGTTTTTCTGCATGCGTTATTGCCTATGGTTTGGTCTGTTTGTTCTTGTTGCTTTTTACGCTGCTCTTCTGTTGCCATTAAACAATTTAGTCAAAGTTTAAGGAGTGCGTGTGAGTGCGAGGGCGAGAGCAAGAGCGCTGAATAAAAGTGTGGGGGAAGAGGAACCTATGTAAATAACAAACCACCAATACACTCACATATACATATGTATATAACGCTCTTTACACAAAATTAGACACGCTAAATGCAAACAGAATAGAAGACTTAGCCAAGTTATACAGTAAAATAAAAGTATATAAAAAAAATTCAAAAAAAATTATGGTTGTACATTAAAGTTGTTAAATATAATTTAATTTCCTTAAGTTTGGCGAGTCGGCGCTGTTGGTTTCATTGCTATATAAAAACTTGATATTCCTTTCATATATGCATATTTCTATTTATAAATCTTTCATGTGAGGAGCTTGGAGGGGCGCGGGCAGCTTTATGTTATTTCCTGTTTCTTCTTTAGTTCTTTCTTTTTGTCTGCTTTTTTTTTTTACCGAGTTTTAAACATAGAGCTTGTTTTTTCTTTTAATATAAATACTCATATATAATATAGGATCATACATAAAATTAAAAAAGAAATTATCTTAAAAATGACAAATGCGTAATGTTAAATTTGTTTTCGTTTACTTTTACAAGACTTGCAAATTGTTTTTGTATAGTTTGTTTCTTTTTTTTTTTTATTATATTATTATTAAATTTGATGTTTTCCTTGTGTACAACTCTTCTTTTTTTGTTTTTGTTTGCTTGTCTGCTTAAAACGCATCTTAATTGTTTCTTTTTTGTATTTATATATATATACTTTTTTCTTTAAAGTTAAGTTTTTGTTTTTAAGTAAATTTTAAATGATAATGGATTTTTTCTTGTTGCTTTTTTTTTTTTTTTCTTCTTTTTTGTTAGTAAAGTCAGAGAGAATCGGTACATTTTAAGACTACGCTCCCTTTTTACAGGATTGTTATTAGAAATGTCAGCACACACACATGCACACCCACACTCACACATACATATAGAGTAACTCAAGTCAGTGTTGGTATGTGTGTGTGCGTATGTTTGTGCATGAGTGCGTGAGCGCATTTTGTGTGTGATTTGTTTGTGTGTGTTAGTAAATTTAAATGTATTACTGTGCTGCTGGCTGAGCGGGCGATGCGATGCGATGCAGTTAGCCAGGACTCTTTAGGCAGCCACCTCGCTGGCTTCGGCACCATTTTGAACTTCATCCTTTGAGCTGGCCTCGTCCAGCTTCGCCTTCTTCTCCGGCGTGGCAACGACCTCATCGGCTTTAGCGGTGGCATCATCCACCTTTCGCTTCACAGCTTCAGCGGAGGGCGCATCTAAAAATGGGGCACCAAAATGAAATGAAAATACAAATTAAATGTCAAATTTCGAGGTTATGTTTATTCTTTCACATTTACCTTTTGAGTCACCGTTAGCTGCCTCTGCATCATCGGCGCCATTCTCAACGGCTGCGGCGGCCTCGCTGCTTGGCTTAGCCTCAGCTGTTGTCTTCTCAGCCTCCTCATCTACCTTCTTCTCATCGGCTGGTGCTGCGGCGTCTGTCTTCTCACCATCGACAGCGTCGGCAGCGGGCGCAGCTTCGGCGCTGGCCTCAGCACCGTTCTCCTTAGCGCCATCGACACTGCTGCTCGACTCCTCGCCGGCACCGTTCTCTGTGGTGGTCGGTGTCTCTGCTGCTGCATCGTCGGCAGCGACGGCATCCTTCTTTACAGCATCAACCTCTTCAGCGGCAACTTTCTCAACCACGGGGGTCTCGCTGTGATAAGTTAAAATTAAGTAGATATTTTACATAAATATACACAATTAGAAAATTAAGAAAAAGCTGGAATTCAAACATTTCGCAAATCTATAAAAAATCGAGAGAAAAATTTCAAGCATACAAAAGTTCGGCAAAAGCCGTTAGCTCCGCAACCGGCGTCGCTTCCGCGTTCGTTACAACCACCCTCAGTAGAAATAGAGCCAGACACACACACAATCACATTGTTAAAAGCATCTGCCGCCGCAAATGATAAATGGGAGCAACAACTCGTGGAAACTGCGACGCAAAAAGAAACAAAAAAGGTGAGCGGCATGCGCTTCAATATAAAAAAATTGTGCTTTTTTCTTTATACACCAGCCGGATAATAGGTGTACATAGCATAAAATGTAAAGTGAAGAGTAAAGAGCAAAGGCAAAGCGTGCAAAAAAAAAAAAGCGCGACTTGCTTGAAATACAACGAGCGAACTGACGAAAAAAAAAACTGGTTTTTATGTTTAAAACACTATGTGCGTCTCCCTCGCACACACCATTTGTGGGCTACAATGCGCGCGCGTCACGTACACAAGCGAAACAGCAAACAAAGAGCGAGCAAGAGCGCGCTTAAAGAATTGCATTGCAAGGCAAAGCGGCAAAAATAACGGTCAAAATATATATACACATGTACACTCACACAGGCACCTACAATACAATAGCTTTCCCCCCCACCCCGGCAACTAACACAACCTCAGACAACAGACAAAAGGTTTCTAACGGTTATCTTCAACTGCGTCGCAAGAGCAGTTAAAAGAAAACGCAGAGCGAAACGTTGACAATGCGAGTGCGAGCAACCGGCATTGCGTTGCGTTTATTTTAGGCAATGACAAAATATTCCTGAAAACAGAATTTGATTTGAGCAGCTCATTAGCACAAAAATGAGCGACAAGAGCGCAAAGAAGCGGCCAACAATGCCAAGCTTTAAGCTTTAAACGAAATATGCGCAAGACAAAACTGACAAAAATTAATGGCCAGACGACAGGGGCAAAAGCAAACAGACGAGACAGACAAAACGACAGCTGAAACTCAAACGGCACACAAAAAAAAGAGCGGCAACTTGAATGCTACACACTGATGCAGTGTGCTCACACGCTCACACAAATATACATACAGACAATACATACATACATACTTATTTGCGCACTCCGCTTTGCACACAGCACACAGTACGTATATATACACACACATCCACATGTACGCTCAATATATTACTTCTTTGCCTTTACCAGCAGCCGCCACCACGAACATGCCCAACAACAAGCATGCTGACGAAGTCGCTGCCGCTGTCGTCGTCGCTGTTTGCCGGCCGGAGTGTGAGAGCGAGAAAGCATCATGACGCCGCGCCAATTTCAACGGCGTCGTTTTTTGCGCGCACGTTTAGACAGCTTTGGTGTAAGCGAGACAACTCTATAGATTGTTCAAGCATTTTACGTAGGATAGACACAAAATTCAAAAAGAAATTTTTTCCAAACCGTTGGAAAAAAAATTATGTACATCACTTGCGAAATTACCCGCAATTGCCGCTGCATATATTGTTTAAACATATTCAACGCACACACACATGCAACAAAGGCTAGATCACACATATTTACACACAAATCCAAATAAAATTACTCACTTCTTTTTCTCAGCCACATCAGCCATTTTAACTTTTAAAGAATTACTTTTCAAAGAGAAGCGCGAAGGTTTTAGTTTTACTTTTCTGCAAATAGCACGCGTACGCAAACACGACTTGTTTTTAATACTTAAAACCAAAACACGTAGGTACAACAAGATTCGCAAATTTCATAAATTTGTGCAATTACTCTTGCTTGACCACTTTTTTCAGGTAGCTCTGCTGCTTTTAAAGTTGAATGCCTGCTGGGTTTTTGGTTGCCGTTCAGAATAACGTCCACACAGTTACGCAGAAAAACGCCGAATGAGACAGAGACAGAAGCTGAGGTAACTTTATATACACTAGGTATATTACAATTCACATCGATGATTTCCAAAACCAAATTAGATATCGATATATTTGCGGCAAAATATTTTCAAAAAAAATGCAATTTTGAATATATAGTTATATGTAATTGATGTGTATTCACTTTTACATGCAAACTTCAAAGAAAATATGCTTAAATACTGACTTTTACTCCATTAAAACGAATTCATTTTTGTCGATTTTTACTTTGTGATTAATTTTAAGTATTAACATAATGTTAAGCTCAAAATGGCACTGTTGTATGGGACTATGGCGTCGCACTAGAATGTGGTGAATAGAGTGAATGCAATAGCCTTTCAAAAGGCATTGTATGTTAGAGTGAGAGAAAATACTTTTACCTTTCAATAAAGCAGCCATATATTTCTTATCGATAGCCTTTTAAGTCACGATGTTTAATCACATAAATATTTAAAGCAACGATCATTTAAATATCATGTGCATAATTTAATTATTATCTACATTTTACTGATTGTAGTTTGTTTAATGGTTAGAGTTTGTACAATTTTGTCTTTCTATATATGTATTTTAAATACATTTTCAGGAAGTGTTCAAAACACATGGTCTAAGCGGCATCTGCTCTATTACTTTTTCATATTAATATGAAATCTAACAAATATATAGCGTATTTACTCTTCTTTTCTATTTGTATTAAGTACAAAGTCTTTGTTGTAGTTCAGATTTTACTCTGTAGAGCCATAGATGTATTCAGATAATAATTTGTTTTTTCGGCTTCCGCAATAAAAGGATTGGGAAAACAACTGCTCTTATCCACGGATCATTTTAGTCCCAGCTGCAAGCCGTATAACAATATGTAATAATACTGTATATTGTGTATGTATATGTATATACATACATATGCATGCTTTATAGTATATATGTACATACATAGCGAATAAATATAATTCCAGAGGCGCCATGTATAAGAGATTAAACAAATCGAAAGACAATTTGATAGTTTTAATGCGCTTTAGGGAATATTTCTTTTTAATTTCCTAGCTCTGTAACAGTTTTTGTTTATTATTATTCATGCACTCAAATGAATTTTCAGCAAGAGTACCCCAATAGTTAGATATGTTAAATACGGCGAGTAAAAGCTATCGATAGTTATAATAATACGTTATAGCCCGCCAAATGGAAATCTGAAGCAATCAATCAAAGTAATTGTCGATTTGTTCGAGCTCTGAGTCTTAAAAATAAAGCGGAAATTGCAGTAGTCCGAAGTCTTGGGCAGGCAGATAATAGGCGACCTCACAGTTGACGCAGTCGAGACAGATGGATTAAGCGGCATCACGTGCCATTGTGCACGTCCTGGCTTAACATTGTTCTACAGCAGAGGACAGCCGGCTGTTTGCCCTGTTTTATTACCTGGTGCGGCAATTGTTGAATTGGTGTTGTTTTTGTTATTGTTGCTGCTGTTGCTTTATATGCGCGCGTTTTTACATGGATTTTCCAGCTGCGCTGCAGTGCTCGAAAAGGTGTGAGTACATACATACATTCATACTTACATATATGTATGTATATAAGATATGCATACAAGTACATGTATAAATATTGAAATTTAAATAAATACACACAAGCGTACATTAGTATATGTCAATATATTATTCTAATATAATTCCAATTTTTTGATCATAATTTCCAACATAATTTTAATTAGTATTACGAATTTTCCAATAAAATTTGCATTTACTTATGGCGCTCATATCCCGTTAAAAATTGTATAGGAATAGCATACTTATACATATGTGGCATACACTCGTATATCCATAAATACATACATATCTCGCATCCATATTCATTTGCATGCATGTACATCCATTTCCTGCTATATTTATATATTTGTGTGTGTGTATTTGCACAGTGGGCGCTGTTGAAGATTGTGTACTGTCAAATTAAATGCAGTCACAAAAGTTTTATAATATTTGGTTTCACATATTTTTCTATATATGTTCATATATGTACATGTATTTGAAATAATATAATAGTAGCATTCGTTTGAGGTTTGTTTATTTATTTTCTCCTATCTAGTTATACATAGCTATTCATCCCATGGAAAATACAATATCATCTGTATCCCATTCAACATATTGCTCTTTAACATGCATTACATTTACGATTCTGGCAGCCGCAGCTGCATCCTGTGGCGTGCCCAAGGCCAGGTGCTGTTTTTGTGTTTCTCGGCGGCGTCGACGTTGTTGCCGCTGCCGACGTCACTGACACAGTTGATAGCCATTTTAGTAACATTTTTCTTAATAATTAATTTTATGAGCCTGCGGCAATTCGAGTAATCAAGCTTAAGTGCGAGTGTGGTGTCCTGTTACATACACACACACATATGCACTTACAACGACCATTGCACAGTTGCGTTATCAAGCTGCACAGCTGTACCGTTATCAGTTGCAGTGCACTCTCAATGACATGCGCTCACTGAGCTTGCGACGGAAAGCTCTCTCACGAGAGCAGCTTACGTTGAAGAGAGCAAAAGAGAGAGATAGAGAGCGCGTGCATGTTTGGCGCTTTTATAGAAAGTCCTTGCTGCTGCTGCTGCTGCTTTTACTGCTACTGTTGAGCTGTTGGGCTGTTGACTGTCAAAAATTTTCACTTAACAATCAGTCAAGTTTATCGTGCGTCTTAGTTTAGTTCGCAGAAATTAGCTCGCGTGACGCTTGCGACAGAAAAATTGGTCCGCAGCAGCAGCCGCAGCCGCAGCACCAGCAGCAGCAAGAGCAGGCAGTTAAAAAAAAATTGAAAAACCACAACGAAGCAGCTAAAAAAGGTTAATTCAATTACCGCGTGTGCCATGATATAATTCTATTCATGTAAAAAGTGTAAAAAACATCTGCAGCAGGCAGAATTTTCTGTACATGATTAAACCATTGTGGCAGCCTCCATACAAAAAGGAATGCTATGCAGAAAAAACTGTAACTGTGCTGCCTAGTTTTGTGCGCGAGCCGTTGTTTATTTAAATTAAAATTAGACCCGTAATTGACTGTAAATGCATAAAGTGTGTACACACATATAAATGCGAAGACAAACACTTACACTCACAAACACACACACACACAGGAACGAAATCAAAACGCATTAAAACGAACCTTGAGCAAATCAGCCTTAAACACACATAGATAAACACACACAATCATACAGATATAGATATATATATATATATAGCTATATACATACGTATATATCCACGAGCGTAGCTTGAAGTAAAGGATTTTTGTATGTCAAGAAAAGAAGCAACGAATTCGGCAATAAGGATACGCCAACCAACTGAAGAGGAAACAGCATGTCGGGCAGGTAGCTGAAAAGAGAGAGAGAGAGCGAGAGAGGGGAGAGAGAGAGCGAAAGTAAGAGAGGGACAGTCGAACATAGTGAGACACACTGACTAGATTTGCTCGCTAGCATGCGAGTGAGAAAGAGAGAGCGAGCCAGGGCAATATGTGTACTGTGGTGTGTATGTGTAAAATGTGGCTGAAAAATATTATCATAATTTATGCAAACGGTTATTAAGCTCTGTGAACGAAAATTTAACAATTCAATTTACATTCCGGAGAAAATTTAAAGTAAAAAGAATAAAATTATGTATTAATATAATTAAACGAGTATACATTTTGCGGAAAATGAAAGTAAAGCTCAAGGAATCGCCTCACTCTTCAAAAAATGTGGCTGAAAATAATATTAATATTAATTAATATGTTTTAATATGTCTGCTACTGTTTGTTTATACACTTTTCTATCTTATCTAACGATAAGATGAAGCCATGGGTCACCTGCAGTACTGCTTAACAGTGGAGTAAATCAATTCAATTAATAGTTTAAAATATAATAATTATTTCATTCAAATTAACTCATAAGTTGATAAGATAACAAAAGTTTGAGGTATGTGGAGGACGTCTCTGCATTGTAATTTCCGTTAGTCAATATTTATTTGAAATTTAACTTATCTGATTTATATTTGTACTGCAATCAATAGAAATATTTTTAGTGTGCAGTATAAGCTAAGTCCATTAACTTTAATTTTTAAAAATGATTAGATAAAATAAACTCGTAGATTTTATAAAAATTCAGCGTGCTTGAAGATATGATAGCACAAATATTCTACAACTTATATGACTAAGAAGTAAAAATATTATATCAAGTATAGTAATTTAAAACTTCGAATTATGTATACAAAAATTTGTATAATAATATTCATAAAACGTAAAGAAAGCAGAAAGGACGATTTTAATTGCCAACAATTAAATCAGCTTCAATTAGTTAATTAATTGCTTTGAGCACACTGTACAACGGTTAGGAGCTTTCTGCTTAAGGCAGGCACACGAGCACACTAACACACACACACACAAATAGCGGCATTCGCACACAGGGCCACGCTCATGGCTCTCGTACAAGGACGCTTCCGCCTTGGCGCTCTCTCACACACTCACACACTTATATTTAGCGAGAGAGAGAGAGAGAGATTAGGAGCGGGAGAGAGTGGACGCCACGAGGCAATCGACAATGTTAAGCCTCAAATTTACCGTTAACGTTTGTGTTTTGTGTACAAGTTTCGTATTTGAGTTTGTGTTTTATATTATTCTATTTACCAACGGGTCCTCACACAGCTTCAGCTCCAGATCCAGCATAAATAAGTAAAGATAAGACGGCTAACTGAAATGGCCCGATTTCAATTATAAAAACCAAATAATAATAATTATAACAAAAACAAATAACAAGTGCGCCGATCAACGAAAAATTTGCAATATTGCAATAGCAGACCTCGCAACATGCCGGAAGAGAAGGCATCCAATCTCGAGAATGGCCAAACAACGGCAGCATCCACACCCAGCAAAACCAAACGCCAAAGGACACCAACACGTCGACGTCCGCCAAACGAAGGCGATGTCGTCGCTGGGGGCGTGGGCATTACCGGCGGTGGTGTGGTCATCCTGCCCCAG